GAACATTTTCTTCTATAGTGTAACAAAACATTCACTGTTTTGTAAATGCTGAAAATCTACACACACTGCATTGAAAAGCCTTTTTCCCCTATATCGGGGATCGCATCTGGGGCGGCCTACCGCTGAGCTTCACTCCCAGCCGTTTTCATTGTTCATTGTGAGACGTGGTCTCACTGAGTTGCCAGGTTGGCCTCCAGCTTACAAAATGTAACATATTGCTTACAGATTGATGTAAGTAGGGGAACTGGGATTCTGTAACGCAGTGGAATGCCTGCCTGGCGCGCACATAGTCCTGGGTTTGATCCCACCACTGCAAAAACAGCAAAAACTGAAGTAAGATTTTGTTATCCTTTGTGCACGGTGTGGCATTCGAACTAAGAACCTGCTCATGTTGTGCAGATGCTCTGCACATGAGCCAGCCCTTTTTATTTTGCAGTCCTTGGACTTCTGCCAGCCAGGGTTACAGGGGCCAGCTAGTAGTCACTGAATGAATGTGAGTATACAAGTGGGTTTGCCTTGTTGCCAGAGGGATTGAAACAATTTATAGAGATAGATAAGATGTATCATGGTAACATTAGAAGAGAAGTGAGGCAAGTGGGACCTGTAGCCCAGGCCAGTAATCCCAGCACTCAGGAGGCTGAGGCAGGAGGATTGCAAATGTGAGGCCAATCTAGGCAGTTCAGACAGGCACTGTCTTAAGATAAAAAGGGGTAGAGATGTAGTTCAGTGGCAGAATGCTTTCTTAAAAGCACATGTGGTATCCTGGATTCAAGTTCCTAGTACTTCCAAAAAAGGAATACTTGGTTAGACGACAGGCCTGAGAATTACAAAATGGAAGCGAAATGAAGATGTTGCTTTAAGCAAAATATCTGTTACAGGTTTCCTGCTACGGGGGTCTTGAGTGGTTACTTTTTCTAGGACACTTTTTAAGTTAGGCCACCTGCTCAGTGTAACAGGTACTCTTAATACTAAAACCAGCCACCCACTGAGGCCCTTCTGAGGAACCCTCTGTCTGACAGTGTGTGTGCTGACTGGTTTCCAGAACACAGTACTGGCTTTGGGAGGGCACTTTCTTCCCTTTATTTCCTTTTTTGTGGCACTTGCTGGGGCTTGGAGAGACAGGAAGTCTCAGTGGACCTAAGCCTGGTCTCACCTTCAGTGTCCACCCGGACCCAGTGGGTGCACAGGCCCACAGTGCTGGAGAGCCCCTTACACTGAGCATCTCCTGGGCTGTGGCTGGTTGGCTTGGGGTTTGGTAGGAGGTCCCCGGGGAGCTGAGTGCAGCAGGGGCCTGGGGCGCTGGGGTGGTCATCATTGGCCACAGCAGGTTCTTCTGCTTTTTGATTAGGACCAGGCAGTGAGTGAGATTGTCAAGACAGTGGGTGACTTCAGCTTTGTGCTGTGACCCATTCATTGTCATGGTGATTGATTTTAGTAGAATTACTTCTGAAAATAGGATTAAAAAATATTCATCATTATGTTAATTTATTTTTATTTTTACTTTTTTTGATGGGAGTTTGAGACAGGGTCTCACTATATATGTCAGGCTGGCCTCGAACTTGCAGTGATTCTCCTGCCTCAGCCTCCCTAGTGCTGGGATTATAAGAGTGCGCCGCCACGCCCAACGATGTTAAATTTAAAAGAAACAAATTTAGAGGTGGATCTAGACTTTGAAATGAGACTGAAGCTCTTTACTATGCATTTGAATTCTTTTGAATGTAACTGTGCCTGGCCCGCTCACTAGATGCTTGCTCTCTGCTGAGGATGTAAAGTGGGAACTGAGATAGAGGGGCTAGGTGTGGTGGCACGTGTATAATCCCAGCACTGGAAGGCTGAAGCAAGAGCATCATCGTGAGTTGATGGGCTTCGCAGTGAGACCCTGCCTCAGAAGAAAGACGGAAATCAATGAGTGTGCGTTGCAGGCAGTTTCTGGCTGGTAGAGGGCGTTTATGTTCACGTACTGTAAATACACTGAAAAATAAGCTGGAGCTGTCAAAGCTTGGGTGGCAGTTTCCTAAGCCGTATGATAAGGTGCTTGTGCAGAGCGGGTTGGAGGGTAGGTGAGTTCCTGTCTGGAGGGTGAGGTGCACAGGGAAGCACGGACTGGTCCCCGAGCACACCTGAGCAGAGCCCGCTTGCTGTTGGCACAGCAGCTTCAGCCTACAGCCTGTTGCTTTGCTTCGGAATTATGCCTTGTGGATGACAATGCCCCATTCTTCTCCATCATGCCTAATTCCAGAAGATGGGGAGACAGAAGCCTTACTTCTCCGCACTAAAATGTAGCTCCCCCAGAGTGATGTGGGCCACTGTCGTCAGGGAGTTCATTCCAGTTGTACTTCAGGAGGTAAAGTTAGTGACATTGCTTTGTTATTCTGAAAAGTTTCAATAACTGCCACCTGTTTTTACCCCAGTACTGGGAGTTGAACCCAGGGCCTTGGCAGTAGTGACATCTGTTGCCCTTTTTAATTTTTTTTCTTTTCTTTTGTTTTTTTTTTTTAGTTTGCTGAGACGGGGTCTTGTTTACGTAGTTCAGGCTGGCCTTCAACTTGCAGCAGTCCTCCTGCCTCAGCCTTTGGAGTGCTAGGATTACAGGCATGTGCCACCATACCTCACTTAGTCGTTTTTATTTTTTGGGATGAGGTTTTTGCTGAGTTGCTACATTTCTCAGGCTGGGATGGAATTTGAGGTCTTCGTGCTGCAGCCTCCCAGAGCGTGCTCAGATATGTGTGTGTCACCATGGCTAAGTGGTTTTTGTTTTTTGTATTAGGCATTAAACCCCAGTGTGGTCTACCACTGGGTTATACTCTCAGCCCCTTTTTATTTTATTTTGAGACAGAGTCTTGCTAAATGGCTCAGACTGGCCTTGAACATGCAATCCTCCTGCCTCAGCCTCCCAAGTAGCTGGGATTACAGATGTGTGACACTGCTGGGTTGCTGCCTGTTCTTTAAAATCTTCCGTTCAGTGGCCCATTCATTGTCTCCATCTGCTGAGCCTCCTGTGCAGCACCTAGGGGGGCTTCTGTCCCTGCTGTTCTCAGATCTGCGTGTCCCTGCTGTTCTGAGATCCATGGGGCCCACACTGGCTTCCCTGTCTTCACTGTAGTCCCTGCTTCCCTGTCCCACTGCCTCCCACCTGGGGCAAGTGGTCCTATTGCTTCCTTCCACCTCTGACCTATCAGGATAGGCATCGGAGGTGCTCCTTTCTCACGACCTTGTTCCCCCAGTAAGGAGCTGCCCTAGGCTGGAGAGACTGCCCAGTCCACCCGCCCCACGCACAGCCCGCCTGGCATTTTCCTGACTCCCTGCTGAATGCATCCTACTCACGCTTCCTGCTGGCTTATGCGCCTGCTGGCGTGTCCAGGTTGAGCTCTTCTCCCTGAGCTTTCTGTGTTTCCCGAGCGCTGTCTGCCTGGCCCCAAACAGCAGGGTTCCCGATCTCTGCTTTGTTCACCTGTTCTGTTTGTCCAACAGTAGGTCTCTCAGGGTGGAGGTGAAGTGCACAGGTTGGCTTTTATTAAGGCTACCACAGGAGGAGGGAAGCTCCTTAATGTGGAGCTCTCGGAAGACTAGCTGGGCCTGCAGAGCATAGCTCGAGGTGTGGCACTGGGGTGGGCTCTCCTGGCCTCGAGACAGCGCATCTTGCAGGTCCACTGGGTGATTTCTTCCCTGTCCTTGCTGCGCTGGAGCCTGGGCTTCCGAAAAGATAAATGCGCGTCGTGGTGGCGCAGTCGGGTGGCAACAGCATGTAAGTCCCAAGAAAGCAAAGCTCCTGCCTCTTGTACACAGTGAAATTTTCAGTGGAGCCGTGGGCTAGGAACTCAGGTAGGTGTGAGCTGTGAGTGAATTTCAAATGGCATTCCTCCTAGCTTCCTTTCTGCTTGGGGTGTGTGCTGTAGCATCTGGCTGTTCTTTCTACCACACGTAGCTTCCTAAACGGGACGAGTATCCACAGTGTACACTTCCATTGCTCCTCAGTGTCACAGAAACAGAGACAGAGATTGCATTGGTCACTAGCCGTATAAAAATGAGCATGTCATCAGATGACCTGTTCACAACGTGGAGAGGTACAGAGCTGATCTTGTGATGTGTAATGCTGTGCTCGAATATTTTCTACTAAGTTCACATATTTGGTTTTCGTTTTAAACTAGTTAAGGCCCAGCCAGTTTATATACCTATAAATTTAAAGGTAACTTGAAGGGAGAAAAGCAAAGATAACTTGAAGGAAACTAAGACAAAATACAAATTTTCAATCCAGTAGACATTATCTGAAAGACTACACTATGAATACTGTCTAACATACTAGCCAGTCTTCATGTTCGCAACTTTATTTCATCGTTGTTTGTTAAACTATGAATTCCAGTTGCTCACTGAGAAAGGTTTCAGTGAGTTTAGAAAAAACTTTTGATACAAGTTGCTATTTGCACAAGGATGATAAGTCATAAAAGTACAAAAATTATATACTGATGTGGGAGACACAAAGACTACACAATTAAATTTGTAATGGGCAAGGAGAATGATCAAAGAAGGCTCCTATAAGTGAAGTTCCAAATTAGACAGTTTTTGGTTTTTTGAGACAGGGTCTTATGTGTAGCCCAGACTGGCCTGAAACTTGAGGCTATCCTGTCTTGGCCTCCTAAGTGCTGGCATTACAGGCGTGGGCCATCATGCCCAGCTAGAGTACATTTTAAAAACTGAATTAGCGGTTGCCAAACTTTAAAAGTGAAGGTGCTACGTAAAGGTAACGACGTGCGTTCCTCATTAAGAAGGTCTGAGTTGCCGAGGCGTGGCGACTCTGGCTTGTCCTCCCTGCCCTTGGGAACCCGCTGTGTTGGTTCTGGGATGTGCGTCCCTGTTGTTTCTGGGATGGGAATCTCGGCGGGGAGGGTGCTGTCTCAGTTCCCTCCGGAAGGTAAGAAGCCATTTGTCACACCTCGTCGCCTGTAGAGTGTCCCGTCGAGTCCTTGAAACGTCCTGCGAGTCCCTGTGCTTTGTGTTCGCAGGCCTGAGCGATGTCTGAGAGCTCCGGTGACAGTGACTCCTCGTGCGGCTGGACCATCGTCAGTCATGAGGTGTGCCTTTGGGTCTTCCTGAGCTCATGGCCGCGTTCATCTCAGCGGGGGGCGTGGTGTGCTCGAGCCGAAGGGTCCAGCGACTGCAGGGTGGCTGTCCTCCCACCAGCATTGAGCGGCACTGTCAGCTCTTTGTGAGCCGGAACCTTCCGCACCCTTCATTCACATAGCTCTCCTGAGTGCCCAGATGCCAGGCAGATAAACACAGGACTCACTGTTGGGCAGGCCCTGGGCCTTAACTGTGCTCTCATGTAATTAACCCCTCAGTGAGGAATAGACTGTCGTTCTCTCGGTTTTTTGAGACAAGAGCTCACTGTGTAGATCAGGCTGGCCCTGAATCTCAGCTGTCAGCCTCCTGAGTGTTGGGGTTGCAGGTGTGCACCACTGCACCTGGCATTCACAACCTTACTCGAGCCCCAGTATAAGCCTCTGACCCCATCCTGCTGCTTCCCTGACATGGCCTCTGGGTCTGATTTGAAAGCGCGAGGAGCTGCAGTCCCTTAGAGCAGCTGATGGGCTGAGAGGTGGATGTTGTCCTTCCCCAGGGCTCTCACACAGAGATGGTGACTCCTCCCATCACCAACGCCGAAGGCTGCGAGCCCAGTCTGGAGGCTCCATCTCGGGAGCAGGCAGAGCTACAGGAGCTGCAGGGCGGTGAGTAGCTCAACTCGGCTTCCTCTAGCATGGCATGCACGAGCCGCATAGCCACCTTGCCTTCGCCTAGGTGGTTGGCCTTCTTCCTTGCGTACTTGCTTCCTAACTGGATAGAAACTTGCATCACATTGTGTGCAGAATGTGTCCTCTCCAGAACAGTAAAGGGGCTACATCCAGGTGGGGCAGAGAATGTCACCGGTTCTTCATCAGCCTGCAGGTTGTTTGGTTGTTTCCTGTCTTTGTGCGGTGATCCTTACCCTGTGGGGCCCGTCCGCGGGGCGCGGTGCCTGTGTAGCCCTCTTACGGGTGTAATCTGCTCTTCTGCCCAGTGGTCTCACAGCCAGGTGGCCTCTCTGAAGGGCTGTGGCCACAGCAGCAGTGCTCATTGGTGTTCCTTGGTTTTCGGAGAGGTTGAGAGAAGTACTAGGGTTCCTGAGAGGGAGAGGGGGGATGAGCAGAAACGTCAGACGACCTGGAGACCTCTGAGGTCGGCTGGGGTCACGCTGGGCCTTCTCCTTCAGGCACAGACCCAGCCTCGGGGACTCCACCTGGAAGTAACGTTTCACATGCAGTGAATGACCTTTGCTTAACTCTATTTTTTTTTTTTTTTTTGGTCTTTTTGAGACAGGGTCTCACTGTGCAGTTCAGGCTGGCCTTGAGCTCACTTTGTAGCCCTGTCTGGTCTCGAACTCACAGCGATCCTCCTGCCTCAGCCTCCTGAGAGCTGGGATTACAGGCATGTGCCACCACGCCCGGCTACCATTCACTTTTAATTGACGTTCCAATGTTAGTCAACCTTACTAAGGTTGCTTTCCTCAACCTTAGTAGGAACTGGGAGGCTGGGGCAGAAGCGTGAGCTTCTGTCCCTACCTTCCATACACTACCCAAGAAGAAAGCAGCCCGGGCACACAGTGCAGTGGAGAGCACAGGCCTGGCTTTTTGCTTAGCTGTAGATGTTTATTATTAATATTTTTGACTTCTGATAACATTTGGTATGTCTTCATTAATTATACTGTGAACTAGTCTATTTGCATTTTTTTCTCAGAGGTAGTATTATTATTATTTTTTTTTTTTATTCTTTTTTATAGTTGATCTCTTGCTGTCAAGCATTTGTAGCTTAAAGCCATAGTTCTGAGCTCACATTAGCCACCATGGACAGCCCTTATGACGATGATATCTCTGGGGGATTTTGGATGTCCTTGTAAGAAACTAGGAAACACGTCATCAGGGTGTGAGGATATGCTTCCATAGTGATAGGTTGTTACAAGCATCCTGAGGTGCTTTGGTAGCTTAAGGTGGAGATTTTATTTAGTCAGATGAACCTTGAGTTTTTGGCAAGTCCCAGGTGAGTTCAGTTGAGTGCATTGTCCTAAATTTCAATTTTAAATGAGAGAATTTCAAGTGCAAGCAGTAGAATGACTATTATATTTGACATTTCATGAAATCTGCTTTAACATGGGGAGTAGGCTACAAGAAGTTGAGTTTTTTAAATGAAGAAATAACTGAACTGTTGTTTGCTTTGTATCAGAAAGCGTCCAGGATGGCACATCCCTGGGGGGAGAAATTGCAGATCTAGCCTTTGAGGTAAGCTTGGGTTTCAAACCTCTGTGCATGTGTGACCTGTTTTGTTCTCTCGATGGACAATATTTTTAGAGAATACTGGTTGAAGCCTCTGTTTCTAGCTGTGCGTTGTATTCCCGTGTGAACTGCACAGTTAACTTTAATTGAAAACTTGAAGGTGAGGTCAGCTGCTGACGGAGACCAAACCCAGGCAGTGTGCGTGGGGAGGCAGCAGAGCTGGAGACGCGCGCAGCCCGCCTTCGGGACCTGGCCCGTCCTTGGGCTCCCTCATCCCGCAGGCCTTGTCTGCTGTGGGCTGGGGGCTGGGCTCCGGCGCCCCCACGCGCTCACTGTCATTTGTAGACGGGGCATGGTGCCCTGCTCCTCAGCAGTCAGCCTGTGAGCCTGGCGCATAGACACACCTTGGTCGTCGGGGCGGGGGCGGCACAGAGAAACTCAGCAGAGGCTTCGGAGCCCGCTGCTCTTCTGGCACCAGCAGCAGCCACAGTGATGCGCTCAGGGAGAGGCTGCGCTGCTGTCACAGTGGTGACCAGGGTCCAGCGCTGGAGACCACTGCACGTGGCGCAGGTGCCGAGGCTCACGGCACTGTCCCCAGAGAAGTGCGGTCTTCCACTATGCGCTGTGTGCGGAACTGCGCGGAGGTGCAGCCATGGGACCACGGGGAGAACGAGCTCTTCCCTTGGCCGTCGGGGAGCAAGCGTGGTCTCGCGCTTCCATGCCCAAAGGGGGAAGGCGGTGGTCCATCTAAAGGGGTCTATTAATTAATTTATTTTTTGCAGTACTGGGGATCGAACTCAGGACCTTGCGCTTGCCAGGCAGGTGCTTGTACCACTGAGCTACATTCCCAGCCTGGGGTTCATTTTTTGAGACAAGATCTCTGTGTAGTCCAGGCTGGGCTCAAGCCTGCAGCAGTCTTCCTTCCTCATCCTCCCAAATGCTGGGATTATAGGCCTGTGCCACCACAACGCACGCTGGTCCATCTAGTTCTGGAGCATTGCCAAGGGGTTGCATAAGGAATGCTGAAAAAAGAAAACTCGCTGTTGTCTGACCCTTTACCATTGGGTAGACATTATGTCTGTGGGGCTGGGGTGTCCGTCGGCGGTAGAGTGTGTGCCTGGTATGCACAAGGCCCTGGGTTTCATCCCTAGTGTTGAAAAAATAAAACATCACATTTTTATTTTAACCTCAAATTACATTAAAGGTACATGATACATTTTGAACCGCATAGGCTCTTAACCCTTGAGTTCACTGTCTCTACATCTGTGATTCTTTAGACGGAGGAAGAAAAGTTGCGTGAAGACAATGTCTGTTTTGGAACTGCCAGTGATGACTCTGATATTGTTACCCTTGAACCACCTAAGTTAGGGGAAACTGGAATTCAAGACATGGTGACTGCTGAGGAAGCGCGTGGCCTGGAAGACTTCAGCATGGGCTCCTCTTCCAGCAGCCGCTACACCTTCTGTCAGCCAGAAGCGGGTAAGAGCTTCTTCGCCACACGAAGGCGCACTGATTCCAGCCGGGACTTGGGCTGTCCGTTACACTGTCCGTCTTCTCCCCGTCCATCTCAGCTTCCGAGTGCATCTGGGTAAGGCTTGTGAGGTGCTCTCTGTAACTTGGCTGCTGGCTGCAGTGTTTTCCCCTTTGGCACGGGGGACAGCAGTGCTGGCTGCAGCAGTGAGCACCTTCCTGCCCAGGCCTGGCGGTCAGACCCAGTGCAGTTCCCCGTGCACCGGCAGGTGGCCAGCAGTGGGCTGCGTCACGGCCCCTGCGAGGGTCCCGTCCTGGAAGCAGGGCTGTTACGGGCTCCGATCCCAAAAGCCGTTGGCCTTCTGAAACCTTTTAGAGTAGTAGATTGGAAAAGTGTGATTGAAAGCAGGAGAATGTTAATATTTTTGCTTACAGTAGTACATGCTTTGTATTGTAGAGACAGTGAAGTTCTCAAGACTGTTCAGTTATGAGGTATTTGACAAGTATCCATCAGGTACAGAACAGGGTGCCAGCGGTAGTTAATAAAGCAGTTTCCCCAAAATGCTCTTCCTCTCTGCTTTTTAATTTAAGGGTGTTGAGAAAATATATCCAGTTTGAGTCATTTTCTCAGTGGAGTTAGTGCCCCTTGTTCACAGAGGATCATTTGGAGGTTAAAGTGCAAGTTGCTGAGCTGATTCCTTCCACAGTTATTTTGCTTTGTTTTTGCGGCTTTGAGATGAGGCCTTGCTGTGCCCCGGTGCTGGGAACATGGGTGTGCGCCACTGTGCCTGGCTGCCATTCAGCATTTTGCGGTTGCTGTTGTCCTCATCGTTGTTTTCTTTTGTAGTACTGGGACTGGGTCCAGAGCCTTCACACTGAGCTCCCGCCCTGGTCCTTTTCTATATTTTTTATTTTGAGACCAGGTCTTGCTAAGTTGCCTAGGCTTGACTGGAGCTTGCTGATCCTCCTGCCTCAGCCTCCCAGAGAGACATGCCCCACCATACGTGGCTCCTTTCCACAAATCTTAAGCTCAGTTTTGGGAATGTATTTAATATCTTTTAAGACAAAGTTCCTTGATAATATCTTAAGACAAATTCCTATAACCCAGGTCTTAACTCACAGTTACAGCTTGTGTGGTATGAGAGAAGCAGCTTGGCACACTGCTGCGGATTCCAGACGTGTCCTCCTTTGCTCAAGCATGTGTTACTTTCACGCTATCATCTCAGATTTTACTGGTCTTCCCATGTAGCATCTGGCAGCCAGAACAGATGATGGGATTCTGTCCTTCTAGTTGAAGCTAATTGAAAGTGAACTAGAGAGTCTTGCTAGCCCATTGAACGATGAGTTGTTTTTGGTTAGTGAATCTTAGAACTTGAAAATTTCTTACTCAACAATTGAAGTACTCCTGATGTTGTTAGTGGTCAGAACTCTAGCCTTCCTCGGAACAGCAGCCCATGCGTAGTCGCTTGATGGCCTCAGGACGGGCTCTGGGACCCTCCTGACACCGAAGCCCCCTAGGCACTGTGTGTGTGAGTGTGTACCTGCGTGCAGACCTCTGTGTGCACCCTTCTGTGATGCGCAGCACCACACACACACCAGTGCTGTGCAGAGTCCCCTCCGCTGTGGTACGAGGGAGTGGCAAGGAAGAGAAGTGTGGAGGACAGATGCGTCCGCTGCCCCTGGCATCCTGGTCTGCTGTGGGTTGAACGTGGCGGTGTGGGACTGCAGACTTAGGCTGTATACAGTGGTACCTCAGTTCACAAACTCAGTTGTCTCCACAGTTCTGGTCGTGAACCACATTGGACAGAACCGAATCAGATTTGCTCCGAAAGGTCAGTGTTGAGCCTAACCACTAAATTTGATTGCCGTTTTTCCAATCTCATCCAACTCAGTTTGTGACCAGAATCGTGGACAGAATCAAGTCTCCTGAGCCGAGGTACCGCTGTGCTTACTCTCGAGGGCTGAGGGTACCAGGCAGCCCCGTGTTTCCTTGAGCTGCAAGCTCCGTGCTGCACTGTGTTCCCCCGTCTGAGAACACGGGTGCGCCAGACAGTGAGATGGAAGCGGAGTGTGGCTGCAGGGCTCGGGGACAGGAGGCTTCGTAGCAGCACCCAAGGCCCCTCTGGTTTAAGGGGCCTGTGCACCTCGGGTGTTTTCTTTTTCCTTTTTTCTTACATCTGCCTTTTTTTTTTTTTTTTGGCAGTGCTGGTATTGAACCTAGGGCCTTTGCACTGACAACATCCCTCACCCTGTTCTATTATTTTTTTGTCAGATCATATTTTTAGTGAAATACTTTGTTTCTTAGCTAGCCAGGCACACCACAACACTGCTGTTGATGTCATCATGTGTAATGTCATGAGGGGCTGGCTGTTCAGTTTGCAGCCCATGAACCAGGTGGTCCCCAGGATTTCATTATTGGCTCCTGAAGTTCTCTGGCTAAAGACCAGGGCCGCATCTGTCAGGCAGCGTTGACAAGCTCATCAGAAGTGATGTTTCAACTGTGTTTAATGTTCTTCTGCTTCTTTCTGTGCCTTGGCGGGTCCTTGCGGGCTGTGACGATCAGGGCAGAGGCAGAAGGCACTACCTCAGCCTGAGCCTGTCTGTTCTGAAGGGTCAGTTTCACCGTAATCCTCAGAGCCTTCCAGTCAGTCACCAGTTTCCTCGGCAGTGTCATCACCCACTTTTTTTTGAGACAGACCCAAGGGACCGATCTTGGGGGCCGGGGCAGACTTCACCACTGGTGCACCTCTGGTACATAACTTTCATCTCCGAGTTGAACTTGGGTAGTATGGTGGAGGCGGCTGGTGTCGGATGAACCCAGATTTGGGATGACCAAAAAAGTTGCACCTTAGCTTTCTCCTAGCCACAAGACAAAAGCCTGTTCTATTTTTTGAGTCAAGAGTCTTATGAAGTTGCTCAGGCTGTGCTGGAACCTGCAACCCTCTGCCTCAGCCTCCCGTTGTTCTCGAGTTGTAGGTGTGCACTACCATTCCTGGCCTCTCTCCTTTCTGAATTCAGAGTTTTGGAGATTTTGCAGTTGCGGTTGGATTTTATTATTCTGTGGATTTGTTTTTTTTTTACCCATTTGTATCTCCTTCAGAGAAGTTGTCTCAGTAGCCAAATGTTCAAAAATAAACAGGCAGAATTTTGAATGTGCTGGGATACAGGGCTGGGTGCCGGCCTGGAGTGTGGTGTGTTGCAAGCAGGGTCGTCAGGGGAGGGGCCCCACTGCCAACAGACACACAGAGGCTGCTGTGGGCTTGCAGGACCTTGGTCATGTGTGGTCCACGTCTGACCAAGCTGTCAAGCTGCGCAGCTTGTGGCTGTACACGGTCAGGGGCCAGTTTTTGTTCTGGTTTGCTAATCTCCTGCTCCTGTTGCTTAGTCACTTGGTTTTACCTTTTCTTCCTCATCCGTACAGGATTCCAGCCTCTTGTCTCCTTGGCTCACTTCTTACAGTAGCGTGGTTGGTAGCCAGGTGCTGCCTGCCACCCCCAGGACCAGTGTCTGCCTGTGGAAGGCCAAGCAGGCAGCTGAGAGAAGCGTGCGTTACGACTGTGTATTATATATTGGCACAGGTTACAGTGTGAAGCTTTTTTTTAATCCTTTTTTTTTATGATACGTGAGGACCTTTTCAAAACAGACATTATGATTCTATGTCTTTTTTTTTTTTTCCTTTTAGGTACTAGGAATCAAACTCAGGACCTTGTGCTTGCCAGGCAGGCACTTGTGCCGCTGAGCTATATCCCCAGCCCCCGAAACTTTTTTTTTAAAATATAAAATACCTTATGAGTGCTTCGAATAGACATCAACATTTTCACGTCAGGTGTTTGCCTGCTTACAGATGCTGTAAGATAACATCAGAAATAGAAACCTAGGCTGGGGATATAGCTCAGCAGCATAAGCGCCTGCCTGGCAAGCGCAAGATCCTGAGTTCAAGTCCCGGTTCCAAAAGAAAGAAATAGAAACCTATGTGAACTTCGGTGTAAACACAAAAGTCCACAACAGAAATAATCTTAGCTTCAATTATCACACGCATGGCCGTCTTTATATATGGAACCCGTACGTTCCATGCACAAGTATTGCTTACACGGATATCACATGTTTTGCTTTCTTGTCCTTTCCTGATGGGTACAGTTGACGTCTTTTTGTTTTCCTGTTGGCACAGTAGGTCTTTGTGGTGCTGCCCCTGCCTGTTCACCTGTCAGCTCCCCAGTGTGCTCCAGTTTTTTTGCATGGTTCCCCGGGCAGAGACATTTGGTTTTTCCTCTGCTGTAAATGATCTTGAATTCCAGTCCTGATCTTCTAAGAAAATTTCTCCATATTTTGTACTTGGTATTTTCTTTGTAAACTATCAAACGATGTCACATAAGTTGAGGGCTGAGTAAAACACAACCATTGGTCAGCACTGTGTTCTAAGTGACATCGTAGCTGCTGCAAATTCGTCAAAATCATCTACTTCACCTTTGGTTTTGTAGAAAATTGCCATCTCAGCCTTCTGTTTCGTTGAGGTTTCCCTATCAGTGTTTCCGTCTTGGTACAATGTTGACATCCACAGTACCAGTTTTCTTTGCCCTATATGAGGCCAACACAAAAGATGTACTTCACAGTACATCTTATTAAATCCAAAGATTGTACTATACAGTTCCACGTTTTGAAATGGCAGCATTTCACTTGGAATCCCCGCTTTGTCTCGGCATGCAGCTCCTGTGCTGCTCACCCTGCGCTCTGTCAGCGAGTGAGTGTCAGTTGGAAACCGGTGACGCGCTGCCACAGTCCAGTTAGTTTGGGTGATGCGCGTCTGCCCACAGCATCCTTCAGTTTATTACTGTACAGATAAGGACCTGGGGGCTGAGCTCCGGGGTAAATTTCTACATTGAAAGCATAGTGAGCCTTTGCATTGACGAGAGCATACATTTTTATGCCATGTTTTGAAGGTTTTCAGGGAATACACTGCCTAAAGGTACAGCAAAAATAAAATGCTGCAAGATGTTCATCAATAGTATTCAGATGGTGTGTAAATTGTTTGCCAATGACCCACAAATCTTTTAAAGCATGAGTGGATAGCAGCCAGATTATCAGTTTTTTGTTTTTTCTTGGCTGGTGTTTTTTTGAGACAGGGTTTCACTATGCAGTTCAGGCTGAGCTCACTTTTGTAGCCCAGGCTGGTCTTGAACTCACAACAGTCCTCCTGTCTGAGCCTCCCAAGTGCTGGGACTACAGGCATGTGCCACCACACCTGGCCAAGGTTTTTTTTTGTAGCGGGAATTGAACTCATGACCTGGCACTTGCCAGGCAGGCACTGTGCCACTGAGCTAAATCCCCTGCCGGTGGTTTTATTAAATCTCAGGTAATTTTGAAGGAAAACGAATCACCTCAGTGTCATCCTTAGTCTACAAACCTCAGGCCTATGATCTTAGCATGAAAAAGCCCTGCCACTGGGCGTGGTTCTGCACGCCCAGAACCCCAGCACCGGGGAGGCTGTGGTTTGAGGCCAGCCTGAACTGCATAGCGAGACCCTGTCTCAAAAAAGACCAAAAAAAAAAAAAGGGAAAAGCCCTGCTAAGTTCAGCAGACCTGTGAATGCTTTCAGTTCAGCTAATGAGGTATCATCATAAACACATTTTTGAGTATGGCTACTGTATTTCAGTGTTTGTGTATCTCATAACATCTTGGAGCATTCTGTCTGTTACAAGTAATTTCCAACAGTGAGTGGCAGTGCTGGCGTTCTGTCCAATAGGTTTCACCCCTGCCAACATTAGATCGTTCTGTTTGGTGGCCATTTTGTACCATTTGTTCTATGTATTTATTTATTTAAAAGGGGGGAGAGTTTTATTTAGCTCAGTTTGTCGAGGTTTCAGTCCATAGCTGGCGGGCTGCAAGGCAGGGTGGCTTCATGGCGGAGGCACAACAGCTCGCGGGGCAGTGGAAGGCAGCAAAGGTGGCGAGAGACAGACAGAGGCACAGGGACCCATTTCTGCTAGTTAAATGTGCACTCATATTGCGTCTTCCTGTCGTCTGAATTGGTCTGTGTTCCCTCTGTCGGTTGGTTCTCGCTCCATGTCACTGTCACGGGAACTGTGGCTCACATGGCCAGCATCAAAGACGCCATCTTCATCCATGCATGAATGATCCGATGGCTTCCTTCCGGCCTCCTCCAGAGCTTGTAAATCTGGTTTTTCCTGTGCCGTCGTACTGCGTTGGGCTACTTGTGTTGCTGCTTCGCCTCTCTGCACCCCTTGCTGCTCGTCTGCCAAGTGGGTGAACGCACAGACGCACTTGGCTTTCCCGAGGCACTGCTGCGTGTCACACGCACATCCCACGTGTGGTAAAGTGCTTGCCCACACGGCAGAGTGGTGTGGGTGTGGGCTACTCCCTGAGATGCTGGGGCAAAAAAATGAAGAAACATTACTTGTCATGAATGTCAAAATAATTTTACTCAGTGAGAAGGACCAGATGCATTCCCCAAAAAACAAGCTAGAAACTGTATTTGACCAAGCTGTTTTTCTTTCAAGTATCTTCTTGAAAAGGCAGAAAAATGGGAATGAACTGCTGATCCATGTTCCAAAAGGATGAGAAAGGTGGATGGAACTGTGATCCCAGTGCTTAGCAAGCTGAAGCAGGAAGGTCACGATTTCAGACTAGGTTCTATGGCAAGATCTATACTTCTGCTTTATTTTTTGCTTGAAGACATTATAATCTGTGCAGTTACAAGACGTTTTGTGGAGGTCTCAGTCCTTCGCTGGCTCCAAGGCAAAGTGTCACATGGTAGAGGGGCAAACCCTTCAGAGTGGCGGAAGACCCCTCCGCAGAAGCAGCCAGAGGAGAGCAGAGAGCCCGTGTGAAGCTCTAAATGAGTGTTTTCAGGTGTTTACACTTTTACTCCTTATAATGAAGCTTTACACATCTTTTTCCTGTCTGCACAAAAGCAGGGTGGTGGGAGAAGCTGTGGAAGGTGCCTGCGTGCGTGAGGGTGTGGGATGCCCGGCCAAGATCCCCAGCTGCCGCCGCCGGCCGAGAGGCCCTACCAGGTGCTGTGGCTCGGCTGCACGAGGGTGCCTGGTTGCTGTGTGTGCTGAGCTGAGCGCCTCCGCCCTCCAGGGGTGCCGGGTGCTTCCGGAGGTCGGTGAAACGCTAGTGGAGCGTTGCATGTCCCTGCTTGCCTTGGGACCCCAGGACGGACTGTGCCACAAAGGTTGGAGGTCAGGTGTTTCAGCTATGTGGGGACGCTGAGGAAGGTGGCAGTGTCAGCTAGACAGTGCGCTGATAAGGGTCAGGCTGGCTTTGAGACTGTCTGGTGAGGACGTGCATGCGAGTGCCTTGAAAACCAACGAATTGTGATGTGTGGTTTGCTTCTGCCTTGGTGTAGCTCTGTGTCAGAAAGTCTAACTGCTGCACTCCATCCGAGCACGACAGCCTGCGGATGACGCGATGCTTTAAGGCCTCCTTTCTCTTTGAGAAGTGCAGCCTCATGCCTGAGGTGATGCTGTCTGGGAAAGTTAGTGACCAGGAGCGGCCAGCTAAGTATGCCGGCAGAGGCGCATGACTGCCCCGGGGGCGGGAACAGCCCAGCACACGCTACCCTGTGCCGGGGTGGAGTGCTGGGAGCCAGTGCCCCGTGTGTGGCCTGGGCCCTCCCTTGCGCCAGCTGTGCCGGAGCTCGGCTTGCGCCCGCTCGCTTCCTACCGGGAGAGCATCTCCTACAGAGCTTGGAAAGACATCTCCAGCTGATGTTTCGGGGTGTTGCCTGGGGCTGAGTTTTGGCGGTTGTCTTTCCCCATTTGCTTTTCTCTGCTGCAGTTTTCCAAGAGGAGCCGCAGCAGGCATGGCCACGCGCCCTGCTGCGGAGCGGGGCAGAGGGAAGGGGTGGAAGGGCGGCGCCGGCCTGGCCCGGGTCAGCCCACAGTGCTGCTCTGCTGCTCCCGGCGGGGCGGCCGGACGGCTCTCCTCTCCCTGGATGAGCTGCCCCACGGCCTTCGCCTTCTGCGCCCGCCTGCCGCCCGGTGCGCGGTGCTGTGTGTGGCGAGCTCCCCTCCCGGCCGGGGAGGCGGGAGGCGGCCTGCTGTCTGAGTGCCTAAGTGTCGGCGTCTCTCTTCTAAAGCAGCACTGTCGGCTCAGCACAGCGAGGAGAGATCCAGCAGCGAGCAGGACGAGCCGGGGCAGCAGCGCAGCCCTGCCCTTCGCCGGCGCCGGGCCCGGAGGAGGGCGGCGGCCCTGGCCGCGGAGTGGGAAGAGCGCGACCCGGGGCCCTGGGCAGAGCCGCCCAGGCGCCAGTGCGGCCGCGGCCTCGGCGCGTGCATGGCGCTCGCCCTGGTGGTGGTGGCCGTCAGCGTGGGCCTCGGACGTTTCTACGGTGAGTGCGGGCGGCTGCGGGGGTGCTCGGTGCCCGCCCGGGGGGCACGGGGCCTTGCGCCCTGCGTGTGTCTCGGTCTTATGGTTTGGAACATGGCAGTGCTGCTGCTGTCTCATAAAACTTGAGCGAGGCAGGAGGTATTAGAGCCAGTGAGAAGCCGGCCCACAGACCCGGACGCCCAGTCCTGGGGAGGCCGAGGCAGGAGAGGGTGAGCCCGCAGCCCCGGCATCACCAACACAACTAAAAACAGGAGTGGAGAGGCTCTGGCCGTGCTGTGATAGAACGACTTGGACTTGGAGGAGACAGCAGCAGTGGAGATGGCTGGGAAGTGGCTGGGAGACGTGAGGGCATCTCCGCAAGCCCAGCTCGCACTGAGGGCCAGGACGACAGTGTCTGGGGCCGGGGCTGCTGGGCTTGCAGGCCGGAACTTGCTTCTGGGCGCTCAGGCTTTTGGGAGCTGACGGACTTCCAGGATGTGGGGTTACTGGGGCTTTTCCAGGACGCTATAGACGGGAGGCCCGCCGGATTTCCTCTGCCCTAGTTTATTCTGCAGTGGCTTGTGCGCTCCACTGTGGTTTTTCCCTCCCAGAGAAGCCCTGGGCCGAGGCTGGCGGCAGCCGGAGTCCTCCTGGGACTGAGTGTCCTCTCTCCAGGAAGGACCGCAGGAAGGACCCTCAGTGATCACAGACGTGGCTGGGCCAGAGCTGGTGCCCAAGTGACGCCGTGGTCACACACACACATGCACGCACACACACACGGCAGTGACCCAGAGAGCAGAAGCCTGCCAAGCATTGCCTGGCATAAGCCCTGCGCCCCGCTACCCCCGCACCCCGCTATGAGGTTATTTCCAGCGGGTGCCGTGTGCTTTCGCAAAGTTAAGAGGTTTTCTGTTCCTCTAGGAATTAGAAGCAAGTTTAGGTAGATAGTTTTGATATTTCTTGAAATGCTTGCCATAAGATAATTTAAAGAAAAGAAATGAATCCTTATGCAGAATTTCATACTTGTTAACTGGTGTTTGGAATGTCTTAACAAGGTAAGTTTGAAAAGGTTAGATGATTTGAAAAAGTTAGAAAATAATTTTTGTAGCAGTAAGGGCGGAAAAACAAAGCCATTCTATCACTCTTTCCTTTTAAAATTTGTGCATGGTGTTGTGAGCACTCCATAGATGCAACATTAAGGTTGCTGAATGTGTTTTGCTGCTTTGGACTTAGTGGATTTTTTATTCTACATGAAGCATGTAGCAGCGTGTCTTGCAAAATAACCCGTATTTTAAGGTGAGAGATCTAGAACTCTTCATCATCTCTGGGTAAGAGCGGTGGCGCTCCAGTAGCCTTAAACCATTATGGGGTCATATCAGAATGGGCTGTGAGCCAGGCATGGTGATGCACAGCAAACCTAACACTTGGGAGGCTGAGGCAGGAAGATCACCGTGAGTTCAAGACCAGCCTGGACTGTATAATGAGACCCTGTCTCCATAAAAAAGAAAGCCAAAAACCAAACCAAATGAAAATTTCCTTTTTGTTTGTGTAATATGGGCAGGCCTGCTTGTCATCAGCAAAAAGACAATAAACTACTTAAAGGTGTTTGGATGTATGCTAACAAAAAGTATATAAATTAACCTAGTGGACCTGATTTGTATTGTGATTAACACCCACTATCATTTGATGAATGACACTATGAGTTTTCACTTACTTTTTAAACAGTGAAATAGATATTCTGAAGAAAAGATCCAGATTAAGAAATTAGATAACATGTAGATGAAATGTGTTACACGTATTCTAAAATACTGGTAATCATAATATAGTATAAAATTTTCTTTTTAGGCACAATTCAGAGTCAGAGGCAGCAACAATTAGGCCAAAAGACACCTGAGGTTGCAGCGAATGACATGAAGAGGTACCTGCACAAGCATCCCCAGGAGCTGGAGCCCCCTCTGGATGCCAGGGTGCGTACCACTGACAAACCCCGAGGCAGCCGGTGGCAGCAGCTGCGCTGCTGTGAGACAGGTGTAACTCAGTAGTAATAAACACAACAGCCGAGCTGCCTTACTGCGACCAGGTCACTACATGAGGAGTTGTGTGAGGTGTGTATGTTACAGTATTCAGAACAAAGAAACGGGCAAAGGAAACGCCCACTTGTTGCTCGTTCAGAGAGCAGGCCTTCGTCCTAATCTGAGCTGGCGCTAACCCGGCAGGCCATTCAACGAGGAGTATCTGTATTTGAGTCCTTAACTGTATCCTAGGCAGTGTAATGGAGTGATAGTGAACAGTTTAAATCTGACATTTGAATTATATGTACACATCCATACTGACACATGTGCACACAAACACATTTTTATCATTAATATTTGCACAGAACTAAGAAAAACATTTTTTAGGAGTTGGGGCCTAACAACTCCAGGAGCCTCCCAGGCTGGTGGAAGGGGCCAGGCCGCACAGCCTGTGTTTTGTTAGTTCTGATCAAAGGCAGTGTGTCTTCCCTCCTACAGCAGAGCGCACTGGCCTGCCGCAGCAGCTGCTCAGGGTCAGGAGCAGCGTGGCAGCCGTGGCCGGCTGGTTCTTCCTGGGACCGGCTCTGGGGAGGGGTTGGCGGCTGTTTCCTCTCCATCCTCCACATCCCTCACAGGCTCAGGGTCGTTACTTCTTGGAAAGACGAAATTCTCTTTCATATCCAGACTGCCTTTCGAGGAGTCCTGCTGAAGATAGTTGTCAGCAGTCACTTGCCCGTGTGTATCAGAGGGTGTCACTTCGTCACCTTGGCTCTAGTTCTGTAGGATGACGCTGGCTTTGAGGAAACTAGTCTTGGGAGTCCATTCTTTTCTCCATGCCCAGCCTCTGAGAGTGCTTCTGATGGAGCTGCTGGGAGACCACTGGGGCCTCCTCATCCTCTCAGCTTTGAGAGTCATGTGCTTGCCGAGGAGGCTTCCATAGCGGCTGCGGCCGTGCGCACCACACCCCCGTCACTGTCTCTCGTGTTGCTGGGTGGAGCCCAGGGCTTCACATTTGGTTAGGCAGGCACCGAAGCACTGAGCGACACCCAGTCTTGCCCTTTTACAGTGCTGTCAGAGCTGAACCAGCAGGGTTAGCTAGCTAACTTGTCTTTGAATTCTTCCCAGGCTTCATTTGATGTAGTTGTCTGCCCTGCATTTTCCTACATACGAAACTTACGTTTTTGAATTTTTGCACCATTGAAAATAATACCCAAGGGATACTGCCTGTAGAAATAAAGCCAGTAAAGTTTGTGAGGCATTAATTTCTTACTGATTTAAACTCAGGTTTTGAATTCTTGACATTTCTCTTTCAATTACAGCCTTTGAAAGAAATGCTTAGACAGTATCGGCTCCTGACTACAGCAGAGAAAAAGTCCCTTGAAATCGGAAAAAAGAGGCTTGCTACCCAGAATTACCACTTACGAGGATCTCTGGAGAAGAGAGCGCGTGCCATGGGCTCACTCCAAGAGGAGGTACAGAAGCTGCGAGAACAGGTTCGAATACTGGAAGAGGAAGGTACAGGTCCTGAGTTAATCCTAGAAAATCAGAAGCTCAAGCAGTATTTAGAGGATGCAAAGCAGAAGGGACACTGGCTCCTTAGTCAAAGGGAGAGTCTGCTGGCAGAAACACAGGTGCTGCGGAGTGAGCTGGAGAGAGCACAGAAAGTAGCGGCATCTCTGCGGAAGGAAATTCTGCAGCGCCAGCCTGGTCAGTGGCAGGCCCAGCCAGGTTCTCCCCAGGAGGAGGAGGTGGCGTTGTTACGGGAAAGGGTCTCGGAGCTGGAGCAGAAGCTGAGCTTCGAGCAGCAGCGCTCTTACCTGTGGGAAAGACTGTATATCGAAGCCAAAGACCAGCATGGAAAGCCAGACGCTGGGAAGCAGAAGGCGAGCAGAGGACACCACAGGGCGAAGAGTAAGTCAAAGGAAACATTGCTGGGGACGGTTAAGGAAACCTTTGATGCCATGAAGAATTCTACCAAGGAGTTCGTGAGGCATCATAAAGAAAAAATTAAGCAGGCTAAAGAAGCTGTGAAGGAAAATCTGAAGAAGTTCTCCGAGTCAGTTAAATCTACATTCCGACATTTTAAAGACACCACCAAGACTATCTTCGACAAACAGGGCAATAAAAGATTTGGGGCTACAAAAGAAACAGGGACTGAAAAAAAAAAACCAGTTTTTAGTGATTGTTCACATCCACAGTGTAAGGCACCTTCCCCAAACCACAAGCCCCGCGGCCCTAGCACGCAGAGGGACCAGCGGAGAGGACAGCCAGCTCGCCAGCAAGAGGCCAGAAGAGCCCCGTCCATCTACGAGGGCAGCACTGCCTACGGCTGGCAGGGACACTGTCGGTCTTCCAGAGAGGCTGCTGGTCACACGTTTGAAAGCGCTCAGCAAGAGTCCTTCAGCCCTTGTAATACGGTGGTGAATCCCGTACTGATAGGTGAATTTAGGCAAGTGATTAGAACATACTTACTGAAAGAGCTGGGTACTTTTCACCACTGGGAAGAACTCAATGAATTCATCAACCAGTTCGTCGTAAATAATCTTTTCTCAAACCATCGGAAGATCTTTGCAGACTTCGTTAACGACGTTAAAGAGTACCTTAAAAGCATGAAGGAGTACCAGGCAGAGAGTGGCACGTTCGAGAAGTTGGACGGGTACATATGCAGACACGTGGCTGGCAGCTCCCCGGCTCCGCACAGACCCAGGTCGGTGTACATAGAGCCGCGTCTTTATAACAGCTTCTAGCCCTGGCTGTTGGGTAGTAGCTTTGCCACTGATGGGCATTTGGGAAGGTTACCGCTGTGAGACAGACAAGCTTTATTATCCCGAGAGCTTAGAATACATTGAAAGCTATAATTTTAAAATTACAACTATTTCGAATAGTTTCATACATCATCATCACTGTTGAAAATGATTATCTGAAAAATCAGTTAAAAGTATACAAATCCCATTTTTGCTGATTTTGTTTCCTTTTGCTGTAATTTATAAGAAAAGATGATTGCCTTACCTGGCATTATCTCCTGACCCCTTACCTGTGTGCTCAGGTGTGGGCAATGCAGTTTACTCTGAAGCCACAGGAACTCGGTTATCACCTTGCTGCTCACCCGCTGCCTCACGCACCCCACAGCCCAGGTCGTCCTTAGCGCCTCCTACCGCACTGTTGTTGGGGAGGGCAGTGGAACGAGCAGAAACTCCAGGTGCCTGGTGCATCCACTTTGTACCCACTGCTTATCAGCTTGTTATTCGTAACATGGAACTGTCCCTATATTTAGGTATTAGCGTCACTTCTTACCTTTAAGATAATCTGTATATTTACGAATAAATGCAGCGTGTCTAAACGGATGAGACCGGTTCTGGTGTCTTTGGTCACTGAGCAGCTACGTGATGCCATTTTGGCAGAGTGCTGGGGATGGAAGGACAGTATTCAAGGTGGCTGCAGGCCGTCTGCATGGAATGTGTGGTGAGGGAGGCGGCCCTGGACTCCGCGTGGGTTCACAGAGCTTTTGAGAGACAAGCGAGAATGAGCTCCACAGACAGGGCATTCACAAAGGCCGGGTAGTCCCAGGCGAGCCCAGAAGATTCAGGTCTTGAAGGTTTGAAGGGCCTCACCCCACACTGAGGACGGACCACCCATGGTGGGGCTGGGATGCTAAAGCCCCTTGGTGCTGGCACAGCCAACGGGTCCAGGGCAGAGCGAAGCCAGGTCGGTAGGGCAGTGTCGGGAGCTGAGGGCTCTGAGCTAGGACAGCAGGTGGAAGGGAGACGGGTGTGAGTCTGTGGGACCCCGAAGGAGCAGAGCTGTGACCGGAGAGGAGCGGTTTCCAGGAGGGCCCCCTGCTGCGCAGCGGCGGCGTCAGGCAGCGCGTGGAGCTGGAGGCGAGGTTACCTCTGGAGGCACCTGTGGCTTCACGCAGCACGTTGCGCAGAGGCCATGCTGACTTCTCCAAGGCCAAGTGAAGGCTCAGCACGGAGAGGTGCTTCTGGGCTTGGGAACCGAGGGGCCGTGATGGCCATCTGATGTTCGCACGTGACTGGAAGCCTGGTCAAGGCTGGGGCAAGCAGTGTAGACCCTGTGCGAGGAGGGAGAGCGGGGCCTGGTTTTGTGAGAGGTGGATTTCCGCCCAAGTAAAGCCGGTGGGAGCGGGTGTGTGTGATGGAAGGAAAACAAGGACAGCACATCCCGTTACTGTACTGTCACGTTTCCGTTCCTTGAGCACTGTGGCTCCCTCTTGCCAGCAGTGGTATTTGTCCTTTGCTCTTTTGTTGAGACAGCGTCTCACTATATAGTTTAGTCTGGCTTTGAATTCATGGTGATCCTCCTGCTTCAGCCTCCCAAGTGCTGGGATTACAGGTGTGCACATCTATGCCTGGCTCTGTCTTTTGCTTTTTTTGAGAATAGGGCTTACTATGAACTTAAGCGTGGCACTGAATTATGTAGCCCAGGCTGGCTCTAAAACTTAAGAATCCTCCTGCCCCAGCCACCTAGTATAGGTATGCACTACCAAGCGCAGCTATTTTTTTTTTTTTCTGTATATAGGGTTAAAAAAAGTGTAATACTCACTTGCATTTACCCCTTTTTGGTGCCTGTAATTAGGATTACACTTTTATAAACATCTTTTGACAGTGTCAAGATAGTAGATTAGTGCAAACAAGCATTAAAGTTGTTTTTACCTTACTTTAAATAAGCTGAACTCTAACATAGATGAAAATGTGTTTGCTACTTTCAGTCAACCTGATAAAAAGCAACGTATGGTAAATGTTGAAAACTCCAGACATCAAAAGCGAGCAGAAGCACCTTCAGCCGCAGCCTTGTGACAGGGAAGGTAAATGGCATAATAAATATGGTTGTACTGATGGAAGACGTGGCAAATCTGGAAACAGAACTGGGGCAGTGGCCTTTTGATCCCAAATACTAATCACACTTGCGTTAAGTTAGAAAACTAAGGCACATGGATGCTTTCTGCACTGCTTGGTGCTGAAGCTAAGATGGAATTCTCCTTTTATTTTTTTTATTTTTTTGGTTTTTCTCCGGTACCGGGAACCGAACTCACGACCTTGGGCTTGCCAGGCAGGCGCTTTTGCCGCTGAGCTAAATCCCCAGCCCTTACTAAGATGGAATTCTCAAGAGGACGTCGCCATTGTTCCGTTTGATGGCTTCACAGCAGTGCTTACAGCGTCAAAAGTTCACTGCTGGCCTGCACTTCATAAACTTGTAGTTTAGCTTTGTTGGAAAAGATGTATTTTTTGGCACTGGAACACACAGTAGTTTGAGTAAGGAAGCCAGGCATGCAGTGGGCTCGGATGCACGAACCGAGTCTTCTATCCAGGCCACCTGGGACGAAGTGTCACTAACACTGCTGTGTGTCAGAGCTGCAGAAAGTGCAGTTAGTTGTGGGCTGCATCTCTAACACATCCTAACCTTCCACCTCTTGTCTTTTTGTGCGTTCGAGAGTCCTCTGACCTGTGAAGTTTGCTGCCCTCAGAGCTGGCTGACTTGTTCTCTGGTGAAACCTCTGTACATCTGATTCTAGAAGAAACAATAAAACTACACCACAAGGAAGACCAGAGGTCTTTATTGGGACCTAGGCGTGTTAGTGCGTGTCTTTCTGCAGTTCCACGTAACCCAGCCCGATCCACGGGGTGCGGGGTCCCTGGTGACCTCGGGACCGCCCACTTTCACACCATACTGGACTTGCGTTCGTAGACGTAAATGTGGCTTCCAGTTCGGCCCTCTGGGAAGTGAGTGTGGAAGAAAACTGCAGTTCTCTCGTAATTCCTTGAGGTTAGGAAAGTGCGGATTTCCTAGGAGTAAATTGATGTGTAAGTGCATAAAGGCTGCGCTTTCCTGAGGCATGTCAAGAGATTTATAACTGTCCTTTCTGACTTCCCCTCGGCACACTGCCCCCCCGTGGGGTCCCCCCACTCCCCAGCAACATCCAGCCTATAGCATGAGGACCCAGGGCCTCTGCTGAGCTCCATCCTGGCCCTTATTACTTTATGTCTGTCTGTGTGTCTCTTTTTGAGAGAGGGTTTTGCTGTGTAGTTCAGGCTGGCCTTGAACTCGCACCGATCAGTCCTACCTCAGCCTCCCAAGTGCTGGGTTTACAGGTTGTGCCCCACTATGCCTGGCGACTTTATTCATTTTTTATTGTGCTGGGATTGAACCCAGGGCCTCACACTGAGCCACATATTCAGCACCCCACCCCCCTTTTTAAAAAATTTGACACAAGGTGTCACTGTCATGAAGGTGCATAACCTGGGTTAAGACTTAAGACACTCCAGTCTCAGCCTCCTAGGCTGTGCCATCACGCCTGGCTTTGGTTTCTTGGGTTTTTTTGTTTGAGACAGGGTCTTGCCATGTAGCACAAGCTGGCCTTGAACTCTGCGGTCCTCCAGAGGGCTGGGTAACAGGCGTGCACCCCATGCCTGGCTGTGGCCTCATTTATGGTAACTAATATACCTTGACAGCTACGGACCTGTGACTGAGCCTGACTGGGAAAGACCAATGCAAAGTACGGGGGATGGCAGGGACCCTGAGATGAGGATGTTGTCTGTTTACCTGTTTGCTAAGCCTGAGGGGAAATAAACGTATCTACTTACCTCCTCCAAAACGCTGAACATGACCAAGCGAGCTGGCAGGGAGCTGGCATCCTGAAACTCCCTCTGTAGCCAGCCTTCGGGGTTGAGGTAGAAAGTGTCTGCTTCATCAAGATACCCACTCTGCCCAGTCAGATCTGGAGGGCACTGCAGGAACCGCAGCGGCAGTGGGCAGTGGACATGGCTGTGGAAGGCAGAGTTGCTGCGCGTTACCACAACCATGCAAAGGGCACGAGGGTCCCTCTACTGTGCAGACCTCCCGCATGCGTCACCAAGTGGGAAGTCTGCGTTGGTGACCACGAGGAATCACAGCTGGGGACTGGCCTCGAGACCCTGCAGGCACACGGGCAAGGCAGGAAGGATTCTTGCTCTTCCCTTCTGCTCCCAGAGGGAGGGCTCACAGCCTTGAGTGGTGTTTTGTTTGTTCGTTTATTTTTTTGAGACAGTGCGTCAATGTGCAGTTCAGGCTGGCCTTGAACTCCCAGCAATCCTCCTGCCTCAGCTTCCCAAGTGCTGGGATGACAGGTGTGCTCCACCACGCCCAGCCTGCTTACATACTTCATGTAGTTGTCAGAGCAACACGTTGACAGATGGGCAATCTCACGAGCTGTTTTTACCATGGTGCTGACACATAAAGGCCAAGAGGGTGGGTCTGTCTGATTCCTGTTGGGACACTTCTGGGCTGGGCAGAACCCTCCAAAAAGCTAGACCTCACTTGATACAAAGAATAAATGTTCCACTGGAAAAGGAGTTTAGTTACATTTATCTGTGAGATGCACAGTTACTAACCTAATAATTTAATTTTTATGATCTTGGAGGAGACCTTATTTCAAAGTTTAAGCAAAAGTTCTGAGAAGCAGCTGTCAGCCGTATATTCTGGGGTAGGCAGCGCAGCTTGAGAGGCACCATTCAGAGCCAGCCTGAGGTCTTACACATGGCCTGTGGCTCTCCCCAGGCAATACCAACTTGCGAAGTTATGTGTTAATATTTGGCATTTTTCAATTGTATTCTCCTAAGATGAGATCCATGGTGATACTAAAGTAACTGCGTATACAGTGCCAACTCCAGACTGCTTAAAACTGGGTGGAGTTAAAGAAGTGGAATTTACCATAGGAAAGCTAGCCCAGGAACCCTCACTTCGGCATTAAAATAGCATCTAGTTGCATTCTCTAACGCATAAGCAATACAGGTGATGCGTGAAGAGATCAGGGCTGACTTACAGCCAGCGCAATAGTGCAGAAGTCAATCTGGATTAGCACCTGGTGTTCTGGGATTGAGAATTGTGTGATAGAAGCTGTAATGAAGACTGCAGTAAGATCGGTGATAACTGAGTTTTTCCTTTTTCTGTCCACAGTACTGGGGCTGAACCGAGAGCCTTGTGCATGCCTGGCAGGTGCTCTACCCGAGCTACACCAAGCCTGTTTTAAGGCATTTCACCAGTTTAAAGCAGGCTTACGTGTGTATTTTTGATTTTTTACTATTTTTCACAGTACTAGGGACTGAACTTGGGCATACTCCTAACACCAAACTGCGTCCCAGCCCTGTGTTTTTAAGACAAGGTCTTGGTAACTGGCACAGTCTGGCTTTGAACCTGCACTCCTCTTGCCTCAGCCTGCCGAGTAGAAGAGTATACAGCCATGTACCAAGCCTGGCTAATTTTGCTAAAAATTAAAATTTACTTAAAAGTATTACATGGTTTTCGTCAACGCAGTTCAAATGGCTTTTAAAACCCATCACTAAAGTGTGAGTGCGTCTTTAGGTTTTCTTGCCATTTGGTCAATAACCAGTTGATGCAAACCCAGAAATTACGGCATCTGGAGGAACCTCCGTACCTGTAGTAGGGCGTGGAGTGGCAGGGCATCAGCATGAACACCGAGGCGGAGGACAGGTTGGTGCTCCCACAGCTGACCTCCCTCAGGTGGCCCATGACGTCGAGCGTGCCCCGCTGGTGGACCAGGCCCGTGTAGAGGGCGAGGAGCGTGTTGGACAGAAGCAGGAAGCTGAGCGCAGGCTTCCTCCAGGCGCGCAGGTGGGCGAGAGAGTGTCCTGGGTGAGGAAGACGCACTGCAGTCGCTGCCGTGACGCTGGTCTCCTGCACTCTCACCGAGTGCTGAGCTCAGTGGGGCTGCAGGGTCTAGCAGTGCGGACCGGAGTCTCAGGGCTCCCAAACCTCCGAGGCGGGGTATACCATGGGGACTTTGGAAGGGGAAGGGTGGGAAAGGCTGTTGCTGGAGGGGCCCAGGGAGAAGCCTGACCCCTGCTTTTCTCACGGGGAAGTGGCTTTTAGAAGAGGAGGTGATCAGTATGATTCCAGTTAGATTTTGCCATCCTAGGACATTTCATTGCACAGCCCCTAACACCGAGATGAAGTTCTGGGTGAAATCCACATTCAAATGGTGTAGCGTGCGGAAGTAGGTCTGCGCCACTGCAGTAATTTGTGACCTGACCTGAACACAGGCCACTCGCACCCCACAAAGGCGGGTAGGGACTTGGTGTAAACCCAGAACACCCGGACATTCACCTCGCACAGTAAGTAGTTCATGTACCACTCGCTGGCTTCTAAAGGACAACCCCCAAGTGCTCAATTCGCTTCTGTTATCTACGCCAACAAAAGGTATTTTCTGGGGGTTTTTTTGGAGGGAAGGCAGTGCTGGGGATTTAATGCAGCCTCCTGAGGGCCAGCCCCTTTCTTTAAATCATGAGACCAGGTTCTTGTAAGTTACTAAATTGCCCAGGCTGGGCTCTAACCTGCGGTCCTCCTGCATCAGCCTTGCACAGTGTTGGGATTATGAGTGCACCGCAGTGCTTGGTTCAGATGATACTTAGTGTATGCAGAAAATGTCTGGGAGAACTAGAGAAATGCCAGCGGTTACCACTGGGGAGGGGGCCCGGCCATGACACAGGGCCACACACGAGCGCATTCCCTGCAAGGCACAAATCCAGTCAGTCACACCTTGCCAGCTAAGCCGTCTTACCGGCTGACTGATCTGGTGAAGTCTGAAGGCCCAAGGACAGCTGTCCCTCAAACTCAGTTCCTGGAAGGGGTCCCCAGTGCTCAAGCCCACAACAGGAGGACACACAGCACGCGGTTTTGCGCACTGTGCCACCTCTGGTGAGCCCACTGTACAGCCGTGCAGCTTCAGAGGGATTCTGCCCCTGGGCTGCCGAATCCACGGCTGTGGGGCGTGTGCTGTGGCTAAGCAGCTCCTGCGCTGCGTGTCACTCAGCCTGACCACACAGGTCGGACTCCCCAAGGGCACGTGGCTCCCCGCCGGGCAAGGCAAGGCTGTGGCAGCGAGCGCGCGGGAGTCTGACCCGTGCCTGATGCCTGCACCCGAACTGCTGAGGAGTGGCGTGTGCAGCCTGTGCTTGGCAGGGGCAACGGCACAACTGATGTGCAAAATAATCCTTCCAACCCATTATTTGGGGTTTTGAGCCCGAGTCTTGCTGGGTGCCCGGCTGACCTTGAACTCATGACCCTCCTGCCTCAGTCTCCCCAGTGCTGGGACTATGGGCAGGTACTGCCTCCCTCGACCTTTTTTTGCATGGTACTGGGATGAACTCGGACTTGGCACTGAGCTCCACCTCCAGAATTCCTACGTTTTCAGAAAGGCTCTTGCCGAGCCGCCCAGCTGGGTTCCAGTTTGCCACCGTGCCCTCTACCTTCCTAGTGCGGCCCCTTCCCTCCTCTAGAGAGGCTGTCAGGTCCACTCAGTGTTGGTGGTGACGGGAGGGCAAGCAGGGGTTCCCGCCTGGGGTGAGCAGTCCGGGACGCGAGACCGTGAGGGTCGGGCCTTGCCCCTGGAGGAAGCGGCTGTTTGCCCCATGAGAAGCCACCGGCCAGGCCCATGGCAGGCATCGTCCAGGGAGTCCCTAGCATTTTAGAGAGGAACTGCGGACCCAAATCACAGCTAAAATACATCCAGGCAGTGGCTTCTGGAAGGGAGCGGAGAGGGACCCTGGGGAACCCATCCTTAAAAGAAATCTACTGGGATGGCCACTGAGATCACAATTTAGAAAAAGGGTAGCCAAATCCAAGAAACTGACATCAGAGAACCCTGGTTCCGAAATGGTGTGGGACACAGCAGGGTCCTGGGCCCAGCTGGCACGCCTCGCTGGGAGCGGAGCCCATCCCAGGGCTGTTCTGTGGGGATCGGGCCAGGCAGCTGGGTTACTGCGACCGGGACCTGCTACGGCAGGTGCCCTCCTGCCCTGCCACCCCACTTTCTATCCCCCGCTGCCGCCAAGGCCGCACGCGCTGCCTCTGCTCCTAACCTGGCCTGGTCCTGATCTGTGCTGACCGCATAGGGTGGAGAAGGAAGAGTTCACAGGTCGAAGCCGAGGCTCCCCCACAGCCCTGAATACACAGAACTGAGCTGCCTCAGAGCCCAGTCAAGGGCTGCCCACCACGCGGACAGCACGTCTAAGCACAGGATGATCCTGCTGAAAGGCAGGCTCTCAGTGGTAACAGCTTTAAGCCACTAGGTTGGCTTGTTTCTATTCTGAAACAGGATTTGCTAAGTTGCTAAACTGCCTCAGCCTCCTGAGTGTGGGACTACTGGTGTGTGCCACCATGCCAGACTAGGCCGCTACGTTTTCAGGTGGTTTGTGACACCTCAGTGGCCGAGCTGTTATGGTTACCTAAAGTCAGGTTAAAAAGATCAGAAGAACAGAAAAAGGCGATGATCCAAGGTGCAGTTGTCTACCAATGCCAGGTAGCCAGGAAAGAGCCAGGCCATCTGCCCTGAGCACCCCCAAGGGGCCCTGGCTGGGTGGCAGCACCCACACGGGGATGGGTTTTGTCCACTCAGAACCACCGTCTGCAGGGAAGATGGCTCCTCTGGCTGGCCTGAGCACCCCATCAGGGCTGGGTCTCCACCCTGAGACTAGGACCAGGCCACCCTGGTCTCTACAAGCTTTGTAAAGAAACAGCTCACAGGAGAACCAAGAAAACCCAGGTTATGAACATGGAAATCAAACCGAGCCCCTAAGTTAATCCCAAGTTTACCCGCTAGTACTCTGCCATGCTGGATTTAATGGTAACTAATCTCAAGTGCCTGTTAAAACTGTTTTTCAAAACTGAAGTGAGGGGCTGGGCCTGGGTTGTGGCTCAGTGGTAGAGCTCATGCCTCGTATGCCCAAGGCCCTGGGTTCGATGCCCAGCACCAAAACAAATAAAATCTGAAGTGAGCCAGTATAGTGGCATATGCCTGTCATCCCAGCACTCAAGAGGCTGAGACAGGAGGATTGCTGTGAGCTCGAGGCCAGCTTGGGCTACAAGGTGAGTTCAAGGCCAGCCTCAACTACATAGCAAGACCCTGCCTCAAACAAATCTGAAGTGTCTGTGAACGTGGCCTACTATGCTTATGACTTGCCAGTAAAGGAAGGTTTCAGCTCATTTCCACAGATGTTGCCACGCAGACACAGATGTGCATCTGGGTTACCGTGCTCAGAGCGCTGGGGTTCTGAAGTAGAAGGTTTGAGACCTGGAGGTCCCCTATCCTCAGTGCCACTCCCTGCTGGTCACTCACTTCCTTCTCTCCCAGTGCAGTTTCTTTCTTTTTTTTTTTTTTAAAGGTACTAATATTTTAAGGAAGCCAAGAATCATTTATTCTGAGTTAAACTCTAAGTTAATAAAATTTAATTCATAGTTTTCCCAAACCAATGTAAAAATTTATGTTTTCCTGATGTGAGTTAACAAAGTTTTTTTAAAAAGTCACAAACAAAGAACTCATGGAAATGGAGAAAGACAAAAATAAAGCCATGGGAGTGAATCATTTTAAAAACTGCATTGGGCCAGGGATTTAGCTCTGGTGCAGCGACTGCCTGGCAAGCATGAGTCCTGAGTTTGATTCCTGGCATTCTCCCGCCAAAAAACCTGCACTGCATTGGTCTTAACTGGGTAAATATTTTGTGGATAAAAATATTAAAAACTGGTTTTGACAGCTCTAAATGTATTTTTCCTTTGTGAAAATGAACACCTTTGTAGTTTAGGCATAAACTTGAAATACCTATTCTAAAACAGTCTTGCTTTTTCAGTGACAGATTTCTAAGAACACTACCCAAAAGTGGTTTGGACACTGGATCCTCATGTTTTTATCTTCAAAGATGCAGGAAAAAGTATTTATTATTTTTAAATTGTTTTATACAATTGTTTTGTATATTAAACAAACCACTTACCACAGAACACCATACAGAATGGTAAGACTGGATAGATAAACCTGAATTCTTTGTGGCCCAACATGCTATAATAATAAAAACATATCGAGAGAAAACGTCATATCACATGGTTGGCTAATGCATTTAAAGCAAAACATCAACAGTCTGTCCCTAACTATGGAAGGCAGGACTTCTTGATCGAGGAGCCGTCCCTACTCTCAGCTAACAGTGACTCCCGTGTGTCTTAGCTCACAGCACACACGGACACCTCGAGGCTTGGTGGGCTCGGGAGGCGGACAGGCACCGAGAGCGGAGAGGCCCGGGGAGACTGTCTGGCTGAACAGGGCAGCGGGCCTGGGGCAGGGGCAGTGACACCCACAAGCCCTCACTGGATGCCAAAATGCTTGGGGCACCAAACCTGCGGTGGACGCATCCCAAAGGTCTGAGGTACGAAGTACACTTAGACTCCAAAGAGTTCTATTACCAGTTCAGTTAAAAAGCACTCAAGTTTGCAATAAGGATGCATACATTTTATTTCAAAACAGAATTTCTCTGACCCTCAATCTTTAAAGTTTTTGTACTTTCTATCTCTCCAGAGCAGCGATGGCAGACATGTTGGTGTCTTTAATGGTAATAAGTAGCCAGCTGCGGCACACGTGCCTCAGGTTCACCACCACTGCTCTGGAAGTAAATGGACTTTGTTCAGCTCCTGAGAAACAGCGAGACCCTTGCTGCTCTGAGCCTTGGCATGGTTACCACTGCTCACAGCACAGGAGTTAAGGGTTCCATTTTACTTTCTTTCTTCAGTGGTGCTGAGGGTTTAACCTGACCTCAGGCATGCCAGGTGAGCTCTCCTACACTGAGCTCACCCAGCCGTCAGTTTACCTTCTAAAGAATTCAGTTCATCTTACCTCCCGGCAGCGTCTGAGCAGGAATACTGAGCAAGCAGCCTCACCTGTACACAAGCAGCGTCCACAGCACAGTCACCAGGAGCAGCCTGGAGCGCTTTGGGGCGCAGAGGCAGCCGTGCAGGAAGAAGGGCAGGTGGGGGCCCAGGACGGCCGGGAGCCCCTGGCTGAGGTACCAGTGCCACGGGTGGGAGCCGTAGAAGGTGCCTGAGCCCTGCAGCACGTTGAACCTCAGGAAGTTGAGCTGCACCAGCGTCCACTGCAGTGTGAGAAGAGACAGGTGGTCAGCACCCAGCATCTGCAGCCCTGGGACAGGACAGGGTCTCGAGAGCACATCAGGGGAGACTGAACACCGGGCCGTGGTTTCGCGGTTTCCGTTTGTAATCCTGACCGGGGACCGGATGGGGTCATTCTCGCTGTCCTTCTAACCAATGGTGCATCCTGAGTTGTGGAACACTAGGCTAGAGGGTTCGAGTGAGTCCTGGCGATCACAAGTGCTCCCACAGCCAGGCGATGTGAGCATTCCATCCAATGAGAAGCTCCTGACAGCAACCCCGCTCCGGGCTCTGGGTCCACGCGGACAGTCTCACTCGCCTGTCATCTGTTGGAGTGAGCTCTGACGCAGGTGGCCCTAGGATGGCAACGGGCACGCGGCCTTGCTCGAGCCAGACGCTGTGCAAGCAGCTGCCCATGCAACCTCGCAAGGTCGATTCTCCTCCGACCGCCCGCGGCACAATCACTTCCCGATAAAGAGCCGCGGCAGGCCAGGTCCAGACCCCATCCCAGACCACACAGCTACTCCTGGAGAGCTGGCCTTCACTGTGGGCCTAAAGTTCCAGGGCCGCAAGAGGGAAGAGATTTTAAAAACACCTCAAGGCAAGGTGTGGGGGTGCACGCCTGTAATCCCAGCACTCTGAGGCAGAAGGGTCAAAAGTCACGCCCAGCCTGGGCAACTCAGTGCCGGTGAAGCCCGGTCTCACAGAAAAGGGACGGGAGGAGGGTGCTGGCAAGGGTGCAGGGCAGAGCCCGCGTTTAAGGCCAGCGCTGCAAACAAAGGAGCGGGAGGTGCAGCTCGCAGCTCCGAGGTGAGGAGCTCCGAGCAAGGGGCTGAGAATCCAGTACTTCGGTCAACACGACTGTGGACTGAGGGTCGATGAAGTCCTTGAGAAGTGTGACCCTTCCCACGCCCAGTGGAACGCAGGCCTGCCCCCGCCTTCCACGGGCTCTTCCAGAGCCCGGTGAGCAGCACCTCGCAGAAGGCACGGAGGCTCGAGCCGGCAACACACAGCCAGTCTCTGTTAGTCCTGTATCACTTCAGGAAGGGTCTGCTCCGAAATACTACTGATTAAAAACCCAGCTTGAGCTCTCAGTGCCGTTAATCACTAGAATAAGAATTGCTGCTGGTTTAATATATTTTTACTTACTTGGCCAAAAAAAATACGGTCAATGACCAGAGACAGAGTCAGAGTTACAAACCTGGAAAACAAGAGAACAGCGACTCAGTCTAAACCTGTCAGAAATCCAGCGCTGCCGTTAGGACTCCACGGGCCCTGCCTGAGAGGCCACTGTAGAGACACTTTACACTTTCACCCAACAGACTTTCGCGTTCTGAAAGCTCGCGCACTGAGATGTACTTAAGCAAACTTTCTAAAATACACACATTAGCTACGGCCACACAACAAACTGCCCCAGGTGTGGCCACTTCACAGCGCGGCTGGCTGCGGAGCTCAGGCTGAGGCCGGCTCATCGGGAGCACGCGGGGTGAGCTCTGCTCACAGGGCGGCGCTGTGCGCAGGCGGCGTGTCCAGCTCCTCCGTGCCCGTGCTCACGCCTCTCCCCTGGGCTGGTGGGCATGGGTGTCGTCTCCTCCACCCGGTAGGCAGCGTCACAGCTGCTAGCCTGTCTCCGAGCGCCTCAGCACTTCCTGGCCCTTCCCACGCCTTTTTTTGAGAGAGGGTCTCACTGAGCTCTGGAGTGCGGAATCGGCCACAGTGTACGCCCAGCCTGGGGTCTTAACTGGCATCGCCCGAGTACAGCCTGGCCGCGGGGCAACTGGGCCCTTACACACAGCCAGCCAGCCGCGCACACGGCCTACGTGCCTCCTGCTTGGGCCCGCGCTGTCATCGTCCCAGGGCTCTGCGGGGGCCAGGCTGAGACTGCACACCTCCTGAGTGTCTCATGTTTCCTGCAACCACTGTGAATGGCCTGTTATCTCCACACCTCTCACTGCAGACTGTAAGGTTATTTTCCGTCATATTCAGTATAAAATGAGAATAATGCAGTACGTTACAAGTTGTCCTAAAAGTAACACGAGGTCCCTCTATACTTTGTTTGGTTTTTTTGAGAGAGGGTCTCACTGAGCAGTGCAGACTCTAGGTGACCCTCATGCCTCAGCCTCCCGAGTGCTGGGATGACAGCAGTGTGCCCACGCCCAGCTCCTGTGTTACAGATGCTGTTGCCATCTGGATGCACAGCTGGGTATTCATTTACCAAGGATGCTGACATGCACAAGGCTGGCACAGCTCAAGTCTGGCCCCAGTGCAGTGCCTCAAGGCCCAGCACATGGCACTGCGAAGTGAGGGATGCTGTCTGCTCCACAGCTCACGCTTTTCCAGGCCGCCTGTTCTTCGCATTTCCCTCCCACGCCAGCACCACGTGCGCCTGCTTCCCCAGCCTCTCCGCCGGCGAGCGTCCGTGCTCATCCCAGTCGGAGCCCCGGCTCCCGCAGCGGCATCCTCCAGACGCACCCCAGGGCCCTCCCCCTCCTGCTCTGCGCGCGGGGGCCCAGGCTGCCTGAGTCAGGGCTGGGACCACAGCGCGCCCCACCGGCCAGAGCAGGAGCCCAGGAGGGCTGGAGGCCTCTCAAACGGCTGCCGGAAGGGCGAAGTCAGAGTTCGCACGAAGTCTCAGTCTGCCCAGACTCACGCCTCACCGCGGAGCCAGCAGCCTCCGAGCTTCTCCGCTTCCAGTCTCCTCTGCTACTGAGGGGAGACACAGGTGGCGACACCCCAGAACCAGGCTTGGAGGTCCCGTGTGAGGACCATTACGAGGCCCGTACAGGGCCAAAGAGTGAGCGTCTCTACCATACACTTGAGAGATATTCAGGAAACCAAGCACAGGGCAATTCAAAGCTAGAAAAAACTGTGAAGACTCATTTAAACAAAATATAACCAGTATCACAGACACAAAAACACACAGTTAGAAATGCTCTATCTCCTTGGACTGAGTTCTCACAATATCAGAAGATACAATTACTAACTGAAGCTGGGCATGGGGTGCACACCTGTAATCCCCAGCACCGTGGGAAGCTGAGGCAGGAAAACTTCCAGCTCAAGCCAGGCCTGGGTAACTTAGCAACTCTGAGACTCTTGTCTTAAAAATAAAGACTAAAAAGGCTGGAAATATAGCTTAGCACAAAGGCCTTGAGTTCCTAGCACCATTAAAAACAAAACAAAACCCCTCACACCAGCCCTTTTCACACTTTGTCATCTACAGCTCAGTAAACTGACGGACAGACGCAGCCAGGCTTACCCGACAGGTAAGAAACTGTGCAGAATGAGACGGCGCCTGTCCTGCTCCCGCCACACGTGTCTGAGGAGCAGTGGGACCCACGGGATGATGGCTGTGGGGCGGACCAGGCAGGCCAGGGCCACCAGGGAGGCGTACTTCACGCTGCACAAAGGAAGAGACGGGATGGTCATCTGACTGTCCACACTGAGACAACTTTTTAAAAATTAAATGACAGTATTCTGCCAAGTATGGTGGCACGTGCCTATGTTCCAGTCCCCTGGAAGGCAAGGCAAGAGGATCACAAATTCAAGGCCAGCTGGGGCAACTTAATGAGCCCTGTCTCAAGATAACAGCCTCCGTCTGCCTGGCCTCTCGAGGACTCATCCCGGGTGCCTCAGCAGGGCACCCCTGCTGCCCTGGGTCCGGAGCAGAGGTGACCTCGCTGTGCGGGAGGGGCGCACCACAGCCCACGCCCGTGGCGCACAGCACCCACTCCTCCCAGCGACCGCTGCCACCGCCCTTCTCCTCTCAGGCAGTCCTGCAAAGCTGCCCAGGCTGGCCTTGAGCTGGTGAGCCTCCTGCCTCAGCCTCTGACCTCCTGCTTACCTGCACCACTACCTGGGTCAGAGCTGATGACGCCTCGCTTCTCCCCCGTCCGGCCCTCTGCTGCCTTGGACCGGAGCCTGGACCCGGAGCAAGCGCCCCTCCAGCCGCCCCACACCCACTGAGCTGCAGCCCCTCCGCTGGGACACACGAGGTGTCTTCATCTGCCTTCCCTCATCGAGGCTCTGGGAGGCAACTGTGGCCCATGCTCTGGCTGGGGTGGGGAGCCGGGAGAGCACGTTGGGGGGCTTGCTCACGACTGGGCCTCTCCCCCACCCCAGGCCTCCTCCACTACTTCAGTACCGCTCCCCAGGGAGCCTGCAACTGCATCCTCCTGTCTCTTCAAGTCACCCTGCTGCCTCGGGAAGCAGCCCCAGAGGACTATGTGCTCCGGCAGCGCCTGCATCCCTGAACGGACTTCCCACGCTGTGAGGCTCTCCTTGACTGCTGGCCCACTGTTCTCTGCTTCTGGCGGAACGACAACCTGGATGCCACAGGGTGATGGTGTGGCGGGTTTCGCGCGCAGCTGGTAACAGCGCTGGAGCTCACCTGTGCGTGGCCTTGGAGCCCTCCAGAGGATAGTAGGAGAGAGCAATGGTAGTAAGAATGGTCTCCATGGTGTTCGTGAGGGTCCGGGTACAGCAGTACCACGTAAACCAAGAGCACAACTGGCAGAAAAACTGAGAAAAATCACAAGCATGGGAAAACGCCGCGCACCTTCCGCCGGAGAAGCAAGCAAGCTGAGCACCGCCCAAGCCACACTAAAGGCAAGGGACTTCCAAGTAGGACAGCAACACTGCCGTTACGGGCTGAGGTCAAGCATGGTCTACGGCAACGTCAGGTCATGTCTGTTCATGATCGGAGTTTACACATCAGCCGCATTTCCATGGCGCTGCATTCAACTAGAATCCCACTTCCCATTCACGGAAGACATGAACAGTCTTTGCTGGTAATCTTCCTAGAGGACTGAACTTTGCAACTAGATTCTCCCCATCAGGATTCCTGAAGCTGCCTCTCAAACAAGTATTTTGACTTTTTTATTGAGCTTGATTTGGTATGCTGCCCTAATTCCTAACTGATCCCTTTTTTTGGTTTGTTTTAAAGGCAGGGTCTTGCTATGCAGTTCAGGATAGCTGTGAACTCACTTTGTAGCCCAGGCTGGCCTCAAGTTCACACGTTTCTCCTGCCTTAGCCTCCCCAGCGCTGGGATTATAGGCCTGCGCCACCATGCCCACCTTCCTGTTTCCTAAATGAAAATTAAACACAACAGAAATTTTGAGAAGGAGCTACGGAATGTTAATTTGAAAACTGACTAAGTTACCGAGCCAGATTTTGGAGGAACATGCAATCAGAAGCATCAGTGAAAGTGTACAAAGCAAATGCCTTACACATAACTTGTTAGTTGAGGCACGAGTGTTAAACACCTGACACTAGCTTCCTGTCTCTTTACATGTGCCGTAAAAACATTCCAATTTTCATAAAGTTAAAAGTATTTCTTAAACTGGAGAAAGGATTCCAAAGACAATCTGACCTTCGCCTGTGGTTTCACGCTGTCTTAGGTTGGCACACAAAATACAAGCACAAAATAGAGGCTGATGCTGTACCTGAAACGGGTGCTGAAGCCGTAAACTGACCTGTCCTGTTTAAGTATAAAAGAACACACTGCTTGCAGAAACACGCCCTATGTCCAGTTTACTAAGAAGCTACATTTCACAAGTGTGCTGGTAACTAGATTTCTTGGAATCTGGATGTACTTTCCAACAGAAAGATTAAACATATGGCAGGACTGCTCATTTGGGGAGGAGCCACGTGTAGAACAGCAGTCCTGTGTTCAGGACCTGGAACTAGGACAGGGGACAAAGCCCGCCTCCTGCAGTTCCTCCTTACTCCGGCCCTTCCAGCTGGGGGAGAGCTGAGGTCTCGAATGCCAACCTTGGGCAGCGACTGCACCTGACTGCACCTCCAGGGCTCCCGGCTGGGCCTCGCACCGCAGCCACTAGACTGGGAAAAACACATATGCGTGCACACACACACACACACGCGCGCGCGCACGCACACACACATGCACACATGCCTGCACACCACCAGCACCAAGTCCCGCTCGGTCCCGTAAGGAGCAGCTGGGAGCCGCCATCCACCAGGGAGGACAGTGCCCGCAAGAGCCACTGAGCACAGGGACTCACCACCCATCCGGCCACCTCCTGGGTTTCCAGCCGCCGCGCCAGTGAGTAGAGCTTCACATCTGCCACGGCCGACAGCAGAGCCTGGGCGAATCTGGGTGTCCAGACCTGCGCCGGGTACAGGGAGCAGAAGAGACGGACCCGCTCTCAGTCCAGCCCAAGATGCCCCAAGTCAGCCAGCCAGCCCAGCCAACCACAGAGAGCCTCCTGCAGTACACACAGGAGGCACAGCCTGCCTGCTCTGCAAAAGCAGGTGCTCTTCCATACTTACTGAACGCCTCAGAGACACAAGACAGGTAGTTTTACGTTCTTGTTTTCATACACATGCACATACATGCACACATGTGCACGTCCATATATGCACATATACACACACGCATACTCAACACTATCTTCTGCAATACTGGGGATTGAACCCACAGGCCTTGCACTCAGCTCCAACCCCAGCCCTTTTTGTACTTTTTCAGACAAGGTCTCACAGAGTCACTAAACTGCCCAGGGGTGGCTCGAACTTGGGATATTCCTGCCTTAACCTCCTACAGTACAGTATTCCAGGTGTGTGCCACCATGCCTGTGAGACTGTATTTTAACTTAAATATAGCCACTTGATTAAGATTCCAATTTTTTAACTCTATTTTAGAAATATATTTTTAAATAGCAGCACATACCTGTAACCTCAAGTACTCAGGAGGCTGAGGCAGGAGGGTATGAAGATCAAGTCCATCCCAAGCAACTCAGCAAGTCTCTGTCTCAGAATGAAAAAAGCAGTGCTGCTGATGTAGCTCAATGGTGGAGCACCTGCCCAGCAGGCACAAGGGCCCTGGCTTTAATCCCCAGCACCACCAACAAAACACCACACCTATTTCATTAGCACACACACCTGACCCTTGGAAATCAAACATTTCCAGTCCAGAGCTACTGCCGCACTGAGTACTTTACACCATCTGCTCACTCACACGATGGTACAGGGAGCTGAAGTCATTTTTCCCGAGGCTGTGGAGCTGCTGGGCTCAGAGCCCCTCCTACCTGCAAAGCCTGTGGGAGGCAGCAGCCCGCCTTGCCTGTGCTGATCCCTGCCCCGCCTGTGCATGCTCCCACCCTGCAAGTGTCCCGCAGGCCTGCGGTCAGACCTTGGAGAGTAACTGTGGAGAATGGTTCGCAGGCAGAGCACCTGCCTCAGTCGACCTGGATGCTGGGTCCCAGACCAAGAACAAAGATCTGACAACCAACTCACATCAGAATCCACGGTAATCGCTGGTACAGCACAGCTAAATCTGGTGTGTGCAAAAGATGCTTCTAAAAACTTCCATGTGAATCTGTCCTTTTGCTGAATGGACTTGATTAACTTTATACTGAGGGCTGCTTTACAGCCAGCTGTGGGCAGCTCCTGACTGAGCTTTCCAGGCCAGTCTCCAGTCACGTGGCTGGGTCTCTAACCTGCCCCAGCGGCCTCTCCCAGCTCCGTGGCTGGTCACCACAGCTCCTGGCAGGGCCCCTCCAAGGGGCGGCAGAGAGCCAGTGTGCCCTGTTGCGAGTGAGCGTCCGGTGTGTTCCGTGCCCACTTTACCAACTGTCTGTGACAGCTGAGGAATGGGGATGCGGGCTGGACAGGGAAGCCTGGAGCAGGGTCCCTGCTGCTGCTTGGGTCAGGACCGTGTCCCCGGGCCGACACTGGAGGCCTGAGCTGTGGGGCTGGGTGGGAGCAGGGAAGGAGACATGGGCACCCGGCCCATTCTCACTGCGTCCCTAACGCAGGGAGGGCAGCCAGGCCCACCTGGGCCAGCCCACTGCCACACCACGCACAGAAACTCCAGGACTGCTCCGGGACCTCCGCGAATTCCTTCTAGCTTTGTTTCAGCAAGGGAAAGCTAACCGACGGGGATTATGCACAGATCTTGGAAAGGAAAACATTTTTAACTGAGCAGTAAAATCAGTGCTGTTCTCAATTCCCAGTCATTAGCAACCTCTGCAGACATTTAAGACAGCGTGGTTTTCTAGGCTGCGGGAAGGACCTGACCAAAATTTAAAACTGCACAAAGCTTCCGGCCAGGAGAAGGACAGCGAGTGGGGCAGGAAGGGCATGAGGGATGAACCTCGCCTACAGCCCCCAGCTCACACGTGGGTCCTGACCCGGGCGAAGGGCAGTGCCGCCCCGTCACCAGCCCACCCCCCTCAGCCGACAGCTGACACCAGCCGTGCGCTGAATTTAAATCTCAGAGCCGCCAAACGAAAAGATAAAGCTAACTTCATTCTGCGTGACCTGATGTTGCATACCTGGCATACATGTTGAACACGTGAATCGATTTACAAATAGAAGCTTTGCTGTTTTGGTAGCGGCCTACTGACATCCAGCACGTTTGCGTTTTACGCTCACGACACCTTTCCGACTGGAGGAGCCGCGGTGCAGGGCTCCGGCAGCCACGCGCGGGCGGCCACTGCCACAGCGGGCCGCGCAACCCAAAGCCCTGCGCGGCCGCACCGGCAGCAGCGACGCC